ATGCCACAGACTCTTGAGCGTGATGTCAGTTGGGAGTTTGACGGGGTGTGAACCTGACTGACAGAGCAGTGCCATCAAAACCCCTTAGGACAGTGTTTCTCGACCTTTTTTAAAGAAGTACCCCTTTCTCAAAAAAAAAAATGTCCCCCCAGTACCTACAGTTTTCAGACATGATTTTTTTTTCTACCATTGCAACACATTTGTTTAAACAACTTAATTGTAGCCAGACGGGCGATGAAATTTTGGGGTGTAAAGAGGATCAAAATAACAAAGTGCTGTAAAACTTAAAACAAAAATTCAGTTTTCTCCAAATATCAGTTGTGGTGACGTAACCCCCCAGACTTTTCTCAAGTACCCTTAAGGCTACTCGTACCACGTTTACCAGGATAGCTTCTTTCACTTGGCGGAGTAGATTTACTATCCTGTTATTGCCCCAGTAAGCATAGTATTTGTGTTCCTGCTATGCATGCTACGCTAAGATAGTATAGAAGCATTCTACACTGGTAAGACACAGCCTAACTTAATGGACAGATGGATGAGTTAGGATGCGGGACACTTGAGTTCAGTTCCTAACTCTGCCACTTACTTCTGGGGTGACCTTGGGCAAATTACTTAATCTCTCTGCTCCTCAGGTTCCCATCAGTAAATATAATTATTTTCTCCCACCCTTACTTAACATCTAGTTAACTTTTGAAATTGTCAAAGAAAAGAATGATCGTCTCTTACCATGTGTTTGTACAGCAGCTAATTTAGTGGGTCTGTAATCTCAATTCAAGACTGCAGTCATTTTACAGGAGCAGCTAATTATTATTATGATTACATATTGCTTAGATACAAAAATTCAGTCAATTTTCTTATCCATGCCTTGCTCTGTGGCCTTGAGCAAGTCCCGTCAATGTCTGTGTACCTCAGTTTTCCCATCTGTAAAATGGACATCATGCTTATCTGCTTCTTCAGTCCTTCAGATGTTGGATTCCACCCAGTTTATAAAGACGGGCCAAATATTTATTAGCAGAATGCTGATTCAGTTTCTCTTTCAATAGGGGCATGAGAAATTTGGTTTCCTTTGAAGTTGTATGAAACTCTGAGGTTGCAAAGCTGTAATCCCCTGCCCTTCATTTTTTTTCCAAAGTATGATTCAGTTTAAAGACAAGTTTTTGTAGCTGTGGGGTAATTGAAAACTCCATTGGAATGGTTGGCTGTCACTTTAGTTTGTAAGTGGCCTCTTAAGCTTGCTTGCAGACCTAGGGAGCTCTGTGGGGAAGGCTGCAATCAGTCAGTCGACAGGCAGACAGGTTAGAGCAAAATGGGATGAATTGTGGTTCTCTGAATTAAGGAAGCAGTCTGCTTGCTCTCTGGCCGGTTTTCGGATGTTGTCTGTCAGGGTACTGGAGTCTGAGATATAATAGTGCTACACAACCTTCCAGGCACGGGGTATTATGATTTTTTTAAATCTCTCTCCCTGTGCCATGAACGTAACAGTAGGCTCACAACAGCTGGTCTGATACAAACAAGAGTCTTGCACAACAACTTGAATGTGTTTGTGTGTCATGTGAACCTACACATGTTTCCGTTACAGCGGTGTCTAGGGGCCCTGTGCTGCCAGGCATTGTACAGGCATTTAGTAGAGGCCCTGCCCCAAAGAATATACCACGGGAGATCCTGATTCTGAGATGTGATCGGCATGAGTAGGCCTCCTTTGGCTTCAGTGGGGCTCCGCGTGGGAGAAGTCTCTGGGCCTGGAGAGCGTTGCACGATTTGGGTAACCGGGTATCGGGTTATAAATTCTTTGGGGTAGGAACTTCAGGTGGTGGGTGAAGTTGCTGCTTGGCCAGTCAAGTTCCCAGCCTGTGACCACACCCATAGCATACCCCTGCCTCATCCAGACCCTGCCCCCTCCCCATGGTCTCCCTCCTCTCTCTGCTCACCAAGAGCACCCAAATCCCTGAACCCAAATGTAGCAAACGACATTTTGGAAGGAAAAATAAACTTTTCTAAAATTTCTAAAGCAAATGGAGCACGTTTTCCACTGCATGCCAGATTGTGAAGACTGGACGTGCAGAAGGTACTTAATTAAAATTTGGGAATAAAAATGTCATTTATAGTTTGTTTTTTTTATATATACCATGAATTTTGTCAGATTTATTTGCAAAAACTTGGTAGTAAGGGCAAGTCAGAAGTCAGTTGTCCTGCTGGATACAACATTAAATACTATGGAATACACGATGCAGCCCTTCTCTGTTTTACATTCTCTTCATCAGTATTTCTAAACGGATTTTATAAATATACTCTGAAGCCTTCATAAAGTCATCATTACCAGATTACTACAGATTTTAAACTCACTGAAACAAAGGCATTATTTTACATTAACCCGTGAGACCGGTTTAGTGTGTTCATAACAAAGTTCATTGCTTTTAGGAAAAAAAGGAGCATTAATTTATCGTGTGATATTTTTTCATAACAAGACATGTTTATGATATTTCACTAAATGTTGCTGATAAAAATATTCCCAAAAATTTTAGGCATAACAATGGATTTTATATCTTAGTAAGGTCCTGGTTTTGGTGGAGGAGTCTCTTAAAATTAGTTAATCAAATAGTCAGAAATAAAAAGGAAACTCATTTATTCAGCTAACTGGAAAAAAAGGAATGTTGTCCCTTAGTTTAAGGGCTCTCTTTAACAGGGAGGCGAAAGGATGGATGGAAAGAGGTGGATAGAAAGTACAGGAAGACTTTGGAAGCAAGTTTACATTTTAATTAAAATTACAATGTGTATTTTAGATAATGGTGGTCTTTTGAAGAATTTATTTTAAAAACTGTATGTCTGAAGATCCAAGCATTTATGCCTAATGCTGAATACTCAATTATGCATCTAAATATGTGTGGATTTTTTTAGAGATGTAATTTTATAATTCTTAGCAACAAAGTAATGAAACACCTAATGCAAATTTTATACTAAGGTCCTGTAGACATAGTAATGCACAACTGGTTTTGTCAGTAAATTCAGGGTTGGCACATGCCTGTTAAATAGTTTCATTGACACTTAATGGCTCTTTCATGGGTTCGATCTTATGCTAATAGGTCTGGCAAGCTGGAAGGCTATTCACTTAAGTTAACAGATCCTAAGAGTCACCCATCTGCAGACTGCAACAGCCTGCTATTTGTAGCTTTCAAGAAGGGTCAGAATAGGGATCAGAAGAGTGGAGAGGTTGAGCACTAAGACCCAGGGAAGGCATTGCCTCCCCTTGCCTCGTATACACACTGCCCATGGTAGGGGCTATCTATTTTACTCTAAGGCTGTGTCTAGACTGGCAAGTTTTTCCGAAAAACTTGCCAGCTGTCTACACTGGCCACTTGAATTTCCAGAAAAGCACTGACGATCTCATGTAAAATCGTCAGTGCTTTTCCAGAAATACTATGCTGCTCCCGTTTGGGCAAAAGTCTTTTTCCGAAAGACTTTTGCCCAAAAGGGCCAGTGTAAACAGCACAGTACTGTTTTCTGCAAAAAAGCCCTGATTGCGAAAATGGCGATCGGGGCTTTTTTTGCGGAAAACTGCGTCTAGATTGGCCACGGACGCTTTTCCGCAAAAAGTGCTTTTGCGGAAAAGCATCCTGCCAATCTAGACGTGCTTTTCCGAAAATGCTTTTAACGGAAAACTTTTCCGTTAAAGGCATTTTCGGAAAATCATGCCAGTGTAGACGTAGCCTAACTGTACAGCACCAAGCACTGTGGATACTCTAAGGTAAATAAAAGACCAAGTACAATGGGGGGGGGGGAGAAAGAAACATATGGCGTACAAGGGCAGGAAGGATGGAGGACTGTAGGTTTTCATTCTAATTTTTTCTCCCACTCACTGCTCCATCATGCATCTTATTTTGCCCCTTACCTGGATTTTGTAATCGCTCTCTGCCACTCTCTGATCCTCCTCCTCCCATTCCTACTCTGAGTTAAAGGCGAGCCCGATAATTTTTTTCAGTTCGACTCAAACATCCCGGGCCAGGTTGACTTCAAAATGAGGCAAAGCAAGTTCTTTTCTCCCTACCTGAAGCTGCTTCTGAAGAAAACTCTCATCTCCAGAATGCCACAATAAATTAATCTGTGGCTGAAATCAATCCATTCTCTTACAAATCTGCGCCTGGGAACAGAAAATGAGGACCTTTGGGGGCACAAGCAACCTAGCTCATTTGAGAACTTTATGGGTTTCTACTATGGAGTTATTTCTATGCCATGTTAATCTGAGTGGGCAGTCTGGATGTTTCAGAAGTCTGAGTTGAACGGTTGCTTTGAAATCCCAGATAGATGTAGGAAATCAAAAAGATTATCGACAGCATTATCACAATGACAATCAATGCAGTAAAAGATTTATCATAATTGGTCGGGAAGCCCTGCCGACGATTGGGCTGGATTAGCTGCCTTGTCACGCCATAGACACAAAAGAGTCTGATCTCTAAAGAAGTCAGTGATGACAGAGAACCCTGTTCCTTTCTATTTGTTAGCGATTGTTTGAAATTTAATGCATTTTTCCAATCTCATTGGCACACCGTTTCAAACTGTTTTGAGGCAGAAGCAGTACTGAGATCCCTGTATTGCTGGAAAAGTTGCACACAATGCAATTTATTTTGGTATATAGCATCTTTTCTGTACAATATCAGGGAATGCTTTTGATGGACATGTAAAATAGAATCTGCAACTTTGGAAGGTGGAATTCACCTCAATGCAGAAAACCTGCACGACATTTCTTAATGCCTGCTTTGCAGAGTAACTCAGTACACATGGGATCAGGGGTTAGAGACAGGCCAACATTTTCAGCTGAAAACTTTCTCAGACAAAAAAATGCAGATTTGGAGACACTGATACGCTTTGTGAACTTGTGCTGATTTTGCTGAATAATTGGGTTAGCCTCCCTGCTCCACCCTCCAAAATTGAATAGTTTCCTTTCAACATTTTCTAACTGGAACCTTTGACATTTTTTTTTCAAGACCAAACAGACCCAGAATTCCTAATCTTCCTGCATAGGCCAGATTTTCTGATGCTTTGATCATTTTTGTTGCTCTCCTCTGGATTCCCTCACCCAGTGAATCATTGACATTGATTGGAACCTTAACGTTGACTTCCCAGGACCTGGGGGCAGGGGGCTGGTTGGGTAAAATGGTGCTTTTTTATGTAAACCTGTTTAAGGTACAGCTGCACCTGAAGAGCCTGATCTAGTGGCTGTGATGTCAATGGGATTTTTCCATTGACTTCAATGGGCTTTGGATCAGACCCAAAGCTTCTTTCACCGGGGCGGGCCTGCCGATGGTGGGGTTAGGGTTGCCAGGTGTCCGGTTTTGAACCGGAAAGTCTGGTATTTGAGCTTTCTGTCTGGGAAACAAAGTGAGAAAATAGAAATGTTCGGTATTTTCTAAATAAGTAACTTTTATTATTAGCATGAGTATCAGGACGTCCTTGCGTACTGCCTGGCTGGTAGACACGCTCACACTGCATCTACGCAGTAGAGAGGAGGGGCCGGACATGCCCATGCGCCCCGCCAGGACCATGCGCGGGACGGGCAGCACCCCGGGATCTGCGTGTGCCTGGGCCAGCCCCTCTCCCTGCTGGAC